GTGGTTTTTTGTTACTCATGGATGGCATCTCAGGGTTTTGAGCATAGTTCTTTGCCTTTTTCATTTGTAATGAGCATGTTTCAAAAATCACAAGTATTTCAAAACATTGCAAAGTTTGTTTTGACAGGAGTGGAACGTCTCTAGAACGAAGGAACGCTTTAATCAGTATTACCCCTTTGAGGCCCACGTTGTGCTCTGATATCTCTTGGTTTGAAACTGGGAATACTCTGTAAAGATACAATAAAGGTCAGAATTTGTTAGGTTCTTTCATATTCAGAACTCTGTTCCCTGCTGTGAGAAAGAGAAGCGATAGATTCAGAAACACTGTTCAGCTCAGTATTAGAGGTTAGCTGGAAGGTGCTGGTGAAGGCGGAACGATAAAAGCTTTCCTTACCGCTTGTTCTTGCACGTTGCAGCCAAGTATGGCTACGCAGTTTGATTAGTTTCAAGAGGTGCTCATTGTTTCTAGCATTTAAAAAAACCGCAGCATACAGAGCCTACTAAAGTATTTGGAAATACCCTGTACTGATTTCAGTCTAATGACGATCTGCCTAAAGGTGCGGGAGACGGCTGCCGCAAGAGTCTCCTCTGCGGTATATTAAATTCAGTGAATGAGATAGAGCCTCCTAAAAGTGTGAATCAGATTTTCTCTTGTTTCTGCCTGTGCGCAGACAAGGATGGATGTCACAGGAGGCACTGATCCCTGCCTGAACTGTGTTTGCCCGCGAGAAGCTCTGTGCAGGAGAGAATGCTCGTGTGTGCGACTGTACTAGTGACCCAGCCACTGCCGCGTTCACAGCAACAAACCTCCTCTGATTCAAGCTGAAAAACATTTTCAAAACGGGTGAGCGTGATCTTCCCTGTGTAGGGATGCTGAGCTCAGAAGTAAGTAGCTCTTCGCTGGGTATTTCTGTGGCAGATGTGGGAATTCAGCTCAGAGTGAGTACCTACGCACGCTGGTTGCTGTGGTTGCATGGGTAGGGTTTTTAATTCAGACTATACATGAGAGGAAGGCAATTTGAATTCTATTTCTGGAATAACTTCGCTGCCTTTGCCTGTGTGTTTTCCTGGTGAAACGAGAGAGACTGCTCCTAATCTAACTTGGAATAATTAGCATTTCCCTAACTTGGGTGTTGCAGCTATCCCAGAGCTGCTCTGGTCCGTGTGGGTGTTGCAGCTGTGCACACGGACAGTGCTGGGGAGAGCAGGAAGAAATGTTCTGGTACTGCTGAAGTAGGCCAACGTTAAAGCGAAGTGCTTCGACTTTCAGGAATAGAATGGGAAGACGCTTACTTAGTCATAATCTTTCTACTGTTTTGCGACCTTTGTAAGTTTAAAGGCATTGCTCTACCAGCTGGTGATTAATATTGAATCTGAACAATATTTTGTATTTTCAGCAGGGCAAATGCCAAAGAAAGTTTCTGATTAATAGTCTCCGATTAGACTAGTCTTGTCAAATTGACTAATCTAATGCAGTGGTGAGCCCTGACTGATTGCACTGGAAGCCCTGTGTGGTTTTCTAGAAGATGCTCATTACAGGAGATTCCCATGTAATGTTGGACAGGCCATAAAGAGAATTGGGCTTGTCAGTCTTTTATCATGACAGTTATTTAAAAATTAATGCATCGGTTTTGAAACGCAGAGACCTGCTTGTTCATACATTTGCTGACAACACTATAGTAATGGTAGGTAAACGTGCAAGGTAGACTGCATAAAATCAGCTGAGGCGTGGGCTGCTCCACAGACCTATTAATATGATGGAACAGACTAATGCACAGAAAATCAAATACGGACTATAACGCACTCATCCGTATTATAAACCCTGTCATTCTGCTTTGATCGAAGGTCGTTTTAAGGCATTATCTGAAACGACAATTTTAGCCTACCGAGCAGACCCCTGCTAACATGGAAGGCAAGGCCGTAACTTTAGAGCCCACACGTTATTATTTGCTCTGAGCTTGTCACGCAGTGACCCAGAATAACTGATCGCAAGAACAGCTATGGCTGGAGGCCGCCCCTGGCACCAGCACTCTGAAGCACAAAGACTTCGGGGAGCAAGAATAGGAACGATCTTCATGTTCCCCTCTGCCAGCTGTGCGCTGCTGGCCGCCCGTGCTCGGCTCCTGCACTCGCCGTCGGCGAAGGGCGAGCACGTCTTCTGCTCCAGCTGCGCTGTTAGCTCCCCGGGCAGGTTTGAGAAAAGCAGCAGCACTGAGAAGTTGAAGGTAGGGAAGTGTCTTACGCGCTGGTGCTCAGTGGGGACTTCCAAAACTGTCTTCAAGGACTTCACATAATGAATCACCGTTTCTTCTGCAGCTGCATATTTTTAAGCAGGAAAATGAATCACTGCTATTCCAACCGACTCAGTTCTTGTACAGAAATCTGGCAAATACATGGGAATTACTTGGATAGCTTTGCTGTCCGTTGTGTGCATCTTGCATGCACATGGGAGAGATCCATGGAAAGCCGTGTTGGCTCTTTGAAGGAGTCCTGTCTGCTCTTGGTGTTCTGTGAAGTTACTCTGTGCAGTCTGTTAAAAATTATTAACTATTAACAGAACTCTGGTCTCATCCACACATAGAGGCCTTTCACTGGCAATTAAAACCAGCCAGATCTGGGACAATGTCAGTTTGGCATGCTCCGAGGCTGGATGTGATACTACTGAGCATGGACATATAATGATCTTCATGTGTTATTTATCCTGTGTTGTAGTTTATATAGAATTTGCAAAAATGTAATTTCTCATTAGGGTATCCTTCGTATTGAAAGTGAAGTGATTTCTTATTTGAATGACCTGCAAGCGCAAGCAGAGTTTATCATATAGGGCAGCTGATTACTGAAAGTCCTGGGTGACCAAATAAATGAGCCAGGCAGGGCAGTGGTCCCCTTTCTTGGTTACTTGGTCTATTTTGGGAAGTAGAGTTTTATGTATGTATTCCTGTAACGTCTTAGGTTTCACACCGATGCCATAGGATTAATTTCACATTATATGTTACATTTCTGAATATCTCTGAGTAAAAATTGTTGAGGTTAGGGCATATAAATTCATGACAAAAATGTAGAATAAAGATTGAAGCGGGGGGGCGTTTTGTTGTTTTTGTTTTGAGGTAAAGTTGCCTAGTTCGCCCCAGAGAAAGAAAATGCCTCGAGTATTTAAGGTGGAGTAGCTGGTGCAACATGATCCCACTTCATCCCACAGAAAACTTACGGCTTCAGAATGTTGATGCGATAGAGGCTTTAGTAATGGGGTAAGCTGTGAGCATCTGGTGCATATGGCATCCATGCTGCCAGCAAGACCTACGTAAGGGGGGATGTTGGGGATGCTTTGGAGTAAATTGGGTAATTGCATGCTAGCGCTGACAGCACTAATTTCAAACCAATGCTCTTTGTTTTGGCTAAATAACCTAAAATCAGATCTCTTTACATTTCTCTGATTTCCAGCTTAGGATGCTGATGTACTGAGATCGAGTGTTGGCCGACTCCGCAGGCGCTGCCCCACAACTAACCGTTTCCTCTGTGTCCTGCTTTCTATGTGTCTTGTCAGTTCTTCGGGGCTGTAAACTTCTCTTCGTCCCGTGAGGACAAACCTTGCGTGGTCCCTGTATCAAAGGGATCCTGGCCTGTGTTTAGGTTTTCTGGATGACAGAGGAATGTAGTTAAGTTTTGGACTCGCGTGTGTCCTTAGCGCGGCGTGGTCTAAGCTAGAGGCACCCCAAGCTGATCTTGCTCAGCCACCGCAGTGACGGCAGCAGCTTTGTGCTGTGTCATCTGTGCACTCGGCGGGGGCTGAGCTTTGCCTTTTGGGGAGCTCTTGCGTTCTGCCCCAGAACTCATTTGTTTCCTACAGCGTGTGAAGCCCTCCTTAGGAACATGGGGGGAAGGCGGTGGCTGTTCTTCCCCCTCCACCTCTAACACTGTCATTCATCTGCTTATTAGTCTTGCAGCTGTCTGCGTTTCGAATGGACAAATTGTAAACTGAATGTTACAGGCGAATTAAACATTTGCCATCTTGTGAGGAAAAGCCTTTAATTAGGGGAAGGATACACTGGAATGCCAAAAGGAGAAAAAAAAAAAAAATTGACAGGGGACGGGCAAGCAGAGGAACAGCAGAAAAGAGAACATGTGAAGTCCTTGGATGTTTTAATAAATGATGTATCTGAGGATTATTTGATGTAGTTGAGACTGCCAGGGTGTCTTGTATTTTCAGTACCACAACTGAAACTTATTTAGGATTTTAAAAAAGAACCTTTTTGAGGTAAGGAATTTATTAATAATTTCCTGTAACTCCCGTCCAAAATGCTGTAGTAAATTTATTTTGATAAAATACAGACTTCTGGAAGTACATAGAAATCCCACAGCTTCTGACATAACTGCAAGTTGGAGCAGTGTTTTAAAGTTTGGAATGATTATCTTGGTTCTTTCAGAAAGTTTTTGAATACCTGTCTGGGGCTGGGCTTGATAGTTCCATTTCTCTGCTGCAGTAGGTGGTCTCCTGAACTCTTAAAAAGGCTACCCCGTCGTATCTGGAGCCGCTCTGTCCTGCTGCTAGAGCAGCGTGTGTCGGGTGAACGTTCAGCTGATACGCTGGCATGGGGTTCTTGTTCTAGCGGAGTACGTTCATGACACCGAAATTGCAGTTTCGGTGCTGTTGAGTGAACCGGAGGAGGATTATCCTTTATGATTGCTCTGTCCGTCTCGGACACTTCAAAGGTACTTGGAAGGCTGGAAGGGCAAGACGAAATACCAAAATAAGGTTGCAAAAATACAGAACATATTTTCAGTAATGTTCACCAGTCCTCTAGCTCTGCATCTGAGGATATATTTGGTTCTACACTTTTGAAACCATGATTTGTTTCCGAATGTTTGTGCCAATCTCTTCTGAGTAGCTGTTTGTGCTAAACCTAATCCTTTAATGAAGTCAAACTTCTGTATAATACAGGTTGCACGGTCACTTTTTAAGATGATAACTCCTTGTTTGTTTGTTTGTTTGTTTTTTACAGTGGGAACTCCATACTATATGTCCCCAGAAAGAATACATGAAAACGGCTATAACTTTAAATCTGATATCTGGTCTTTGGGCTGTTTATTGTATGAGGCAAGTATCCTCTAACTTTTTTTCCCCTAGGTTTCTCTTAACACACAATACAGTACAGGAATTGAGTAGGTCAGACTTACTTTAGCTTAATTGTTGAGAAACCTTATGAAGAGTTAACTCATCATGTGCTTTTTGAGCATGAACAACAACGGGATTGTGCCGTACAGCACAGTACTTACACAGTTACTTTAGTAGGTCACAGTCGGCGTTGAGGATATAGACCTAAACAAGCAAGCTTGCTGCGTTCTTTCTTCCTACTGTGAGCAGAGCAGTTATTGGGGCAGCATATTCATAGTTTCTCCTGAATGCTGCATTTGTTTTAAAAATAGCAAATTCATTTGAATATAAACTACTGGTTTTGTAAATAGAATTCTGACCGGTTGGAATATTTTAATTCTGAGAGCTTTCAATAAAGAAAAACAGAGGTTTTTAGCTAATGTGAAATAATTTCTCTAACCTTATTAGACTATAGCTGAATTTTTTTCTAGTGTGTTGTTTTCTAGGCAAATGCACAGATACAGAGCTGGCACACTTTGTATGAACTGTACACTTAGTGTGTAACTTTTTCTTAAGAACTATTGCATCTATTTTTTAAAAAGTGCTATGATTTTCTAACAGTACTTTGAGTTTTGTGGTTTCATTCTTAGCAGGGATCAGAGGGTATCGAACAATCTTGTGCTCATTTGTAATCTACTCTTAATTGGGTTTTTAAATGTATGCATCATCTCTGAAGTCGAGTGAAAGTGCACGTCAACATTTAGAGTTTTTATCTCTTCCCAAGAGAATTTAAAATCCATGGGATATTTAGTAATAAGATTATTGCTCACATCCTATTTGGATGATGAATGATGTGAAATTATGACATTTTGCTTCTCATTACAACTTCTCATAACCACATGGAATTAGAGAATAAACAGAAATGTAATTTCTTTTGCGAGCACGTCAGATGTGAAAACTGTTACAGTTAAGCATGTACTTCAACTACTTCGTTAAACAAACCTTTTGGGAAAAGACGGTATAGAAGTAAATTTTCCTGTAACTTGTCGCTGTTTATGTATTTTGGGGAAGAACACTCACCTCATACAACTAAATGCTTGTTCAGTGCGGTAACCTACTGTCGTCGATGTGCTACCAAGCCCCGAGTCATACAGTTCAATAGGTGCTGATTTATTGTTGGCAAGAGTGTGAACATGCCGTGTGGTGTGCATCTTCAGAGAGAGATTGGTGCTGGAAACACAGTGAAATAAATGGCTGAAATCCTGCTAGATGGACTTCGGCAGTCTGGGGGCTCTGCTCTTAACAGCCCTTTGCTTCTCGTGTGTGTGGTAGTAGCACAGCTGGCCCAGATGTGGTTATGGACTTGAATGTGGTCCAAAAAAACCTCTTGTGGGTAAAACAACCCCACAACTATCCATTCTTTTTATCCTCCTACCAGTGTCTATCCAAAGACTGTATTTCTGCCATGGTGTAAAGGCTCTTCAGACAGTCTGCTCACAACTTGGCATGGCGTAGAGTTTAATTAAGGAGAAAGATACTTTTTTTTTTCTTTTTTTTTTTTTTTTTTTTTTTAATCTGAGTGTCTAGCATAAATGCCTCATAAGTCACCAAAATCAGTGTCAAGTCCCAGCACTGGCCTTACTACTCCCAGCAAATAGCCACTAGATCTGCTGAAGGGAAGATCCACCTTGGTGGAGACACTGCAGCCCGAGGCGGTTGTATCGCTGATCTGTTGTTAAAATTCTATGGGGTCGGAGGGAGAGAAGGGGTGTAAGGCACCCTGCTAAGTACTTGATCAAAAATACTTGGAAAATTGTGAACTTAAATTGAGCGGTATTGTATCTATCCTCAAATTCTCATTGCCTCTGGTGAAAGAATTCACGAGACTTCGTAATTCCCGAAGCAGCAGCAGCAACATACCATTGAAAAGCTGGTATTTTTATAAAGGATGGTTTTGCTTGTAATGCTTCTAATGAGATACTGAAAAAGGAATGATACAGCATAGCTGTATGAACCTGGGTCTGCTGGTGGCATTTGAAAAGGAATTTGGAGACTCTCCTGTGGGAACAGGGGGAAGGAAGCCTGAGCCCCCAGTAATTCCAGGTGCATTTCATGTGTTGGGCCTGAAGAGGAATTCTCCGTTGAGGGCTTTGCGGAGTTGAGGACTTTGGCCCTGCCACAGTGTGTTGGACTTGCCGAGCCCATCGACAACAGTCAAAGTCGCCCAAGTTGGACACCGCTACTCATTTGCTGCCGTAGTGTGCAGCTTCTCCGTCAACTGCTCTGAGGCATTTCTGAGGCTGAGCTCTGCTGGAGATGGGATTCCAGATTTATGCAGAGAGAAATATTTAGCGTTGTGCTAAGATATGTTTTTGTTGCAGGCAATATGGTCCCCTTATGGCACAGTAGTCTTGGTACTCCTTGTATTTCAAGAAGCTGACTTAATTGCACACTAAACGTAATTCTCTGGTAGGAGTAGCAGTACTATAGTAACGTGAAAGATTTGGCATGTGAAGCATTTTTAAATGTACTGCCTACGTAGGTAAGCTTTAACTCTGTGAACAGGAGCTGTGAGATCTTGCAAATTCCGAGGAGGACTGGACAGTTACCAATTTTGTGTTCAGTAGATAAACAGCTACTTGGCTTTTTAAACTTCCTAGAATTTGGAAGATTAAAAGTCAAATTTGTATGTCTTTGAAGGAGCTTATTTTATTGTCACTAATTTCTTGTAACGAGAATGTTTTTCCATTCAGCTTAAAAGTAAGGAAGAGATGTTTGTTTGGTTGTGAGTCACTTCTGATATTTCTCCAGACAGATTGTGTAGATAAGCTGCAGAGAGGTTTAATGTACAAATTGCCTTCAGAGACACGCATGTCCACTGGAATCCGCTTAGGGAACATTGAGGGGTTTGGGATGTGATGCCACATAGCACCACTTAACTTTGATAATCATACAGTGATTTTTATTAAATCTTATCAATATAGTAGTAACTGTCTTCATCCCTCACTTCCTGTAGGTATCTGTCAGCAAGATAAGTTGGAGGCCATGAAAATAAGTTGTTAATTCCTAGGATATAGCTACAAGCAATGACTTTAGCAGTTCTGGCAAGACGATCAATTTAAACACTGATGCGTGTATATTTTTTTTTTTTTTTAGCCAGTCATACTGCATGGTGGTCATCTTAAATTGAGATCTAGCTGTCCTGTGGTAATTGCTCTAATCAAAATGTCAGGAGCAAACCCCAGTGTAGCATGGCAAACTGTTGTTAGTGAGGTATTTGGAGCGCCTATGGTGACGACCCCCGCAGACCCGACTGTTTCAGTCAGAACACGTGTGCCATCTCTTTCCATTTTAATTCCTTGCATTTAGCACCCCAAAACCCCACGTTGTTTCCTCTTTTGCAGATGACTGCTTAACTGGACTTGGAAAGAAAAGTTGATGGGAATTGAAAAATCCCTCTCAACCTTACTGGCATTATTGATGTTTGTATTGACATCTCGGAGACCTTGTTTAACCCTTGGTTGCCTTTGGTGCCTTCCCTAATGCACCCATTAGTGTTTTTCTCGGAACAATCTCGCATGCTGGGCTCTCCAGTTTTGCTTTAACTGATTGAGAGCAGTTTGCTATCAATCTCTAATTGGAGATTAGAGTCCCTAATTGGAGTCTGTAATTTTTTCCCCACTGATTTGCTTGTTGCAGTAATCGAGTAACGGCAATACAGCTTCACCTTTTTGCCTTCAAAAACTTCCAGAAGGCCCTGAGCACGGGGCCGGCTGGGCGCTCTCCTGGCTGTTGGGGCCCCGTTCACAAGCCTGTCGGGCGGCCCGTCAGCCTCAGGTCTGTAGGTTTTCTGAGGAGTAGCTTAGCATTGCTGCGGTACCAGCGGGCGGGAGCGCAGCGAGGGGAGCGTGCCCCTTCCCAGCCCGCGCTTCTGGGCAGCCGCTGCAGGCGTGATTCCTCCTGCTGCTCGGCCTGCGGCGAAGCGCAGTAAATGTCACTGGCACAGCAAGTATCTCGCGCTACGTTGCAGGAAGCATTGCAGGCAGAAAACTGAACAAGCCTGAAGTTTTCCAAGATGTTTCAGGGAGCTGTGTACTCAGCTCATTGTGTCCTTCAGTGTAATTGGGTACCTTCATCTGTTCTGTATTGCCACTTGTAAGCTGGATATTTGATAAATATCTCTGGAAAAGCTTCCTGAAAAATACATTAGTCTGGTGGTACCTAAGGAGATAAGCTTGGAGATTTAGCCAGAATGTATCTTACTGCTTGTACTGGCTCAGAACTCGCTGCAGAGGGTCTCTTACCTCTGTGCGGACCCGCTCGGGCAAGGTGCGTTAACGTGATGAGGTTTCGGTAAGACGCCCCGGCTGCAGCCCGCTCCCGCCGTGCCCGGGGGGAGCTCAGGGATGCCCCGCGCCGCGTCCCGCTGCTGGAAGTGCAGCCCCCACGCAGCGTTTCAAAACCCTGCCCTAACCAAAACTGCTTGTCTGTCACCAAATCGTTAATAATCCATCAATCTTGATTCCTGACTGCAGGATAAGAGTGGAGGATCTAGTATTGACTTTTTTTAACTCTGCTGGGAGCTTGCTGTGTGTGTCAGCAACACGACAGCGTTCTTCAGATGGCTTTCACAGCGCATGGTAATGAGCGAAAGACTAATAATCATCAAATAACCCCCTATTAAAGCCGTAGTGACGAGTATCAACTTCAGCTGGCCTCAGTACGAAAAGCTCGCCGATTTGATGCAGCTTGTAGCAAAATGATTTTAAAAGATCTAAACAGTGGATAATACCCACAATTGCCCCGCGGTGCTGCATTAGGAGGAGGTATGGCTGTGCTGCCTGGGGCCGCAGCGAGAGGGGCCAGCAGCCCTGGAGTGACATCCTGGGCTAGGAAGCAGATGGGCCTGGCACGGCCAGCGGCCGCGGGCGGGTCTGCTGGCGTGGGTCCCGGGGTGGGAAGGTGCTTAGCTCGTCGTGTGTACCTTAATAGACACAACTTAAGCTGCTTTTCTAAGT